TGGAGTTGTTTCGAAATTCAGAGCCACTTCAAGGCCTATCACTAACGTCAACGCTATCTTCCCTATTCCTTTCTACTTTCATTTCCTCGCGACTCTCTGATTTACTTGTACATTAAAGTCTCAGTTTCCACGTTAAATTATTGGAGGGCGCACCTGTTCAAGATGACGAAAGAAAAAAAGAAAGGAGGAAGGAAGGAGAGTCGTCGAAGCTCTTAAACGCGGACCGCGTACGAAAAGCTCTGCAGCTGCGCGGATAATCCACTGTTCATGGGCATGCATATGCATTCGGGGACGCGCACCGGTGCCCGATAAGGTATTACGCTTCTCCGTGGGTTACGTTCTTGCAAATATAGATAAGCGACATCCGTTGAATTTAGCACGAGGATAATTTGTTCTATCGTTAAAAAAGAAAAAGTAAACTTGAGAAAGATTTAGACCTTTTGGAAATAAGCATAACAAGAAGATGCAAGTTTGACATGTAAATTTGCGTGACTCCTCTGCAAGGATGTTCGATAAAAGGTTTGCTCTCTATCTAGGCGTGTTATTAGAGGCTATCCACGGTAAAAGGCATAAGACAGGGATGAAACGAAATGAAAGGGAAGGGAAGGAGGTGCGTTCGACGAGCAGAAATAGCCAGGAGAGATAGCGCACGGTGCATCGGCTAATTGCATTACTGGCAGCATCATCGGCGCAGCCTCCTCCTTTTGCTGCGAGATCATACGCATTTACTTAATGTACGTGGCACACAACCACTCCGTGCACTTAGCCCTGAGGTATTGGCTCATAATTCTCTCCCTCGACGGAGCACAGCCGACGTTAAATGTGTATGCATATTTATACGGGACGAGTTTCCACCGGTTACTCGCTCGAAAATTAATTTCCTTCTCCTTTGTCTCTCATACTCCCTTACCTCTCAATAACGATTATAAATGCTGAATTTGTCGCTTCTTTTTCTTTCCTTTCTTTTCTTGAGAGATAGTTATAAGAAGATCAAAATTCAAGATGTTCATTCGCGATTGCGCGTTCGATTTACCGAAGTCTTCCCTTTATCGCCCGATTTACGAGCCGGTAAAGCTATGAAAGGTTCACGTACACCGTTTCCTGGTCCGCGTCGAGCCACGAATTCTCTCGTGTGCTCCCGCGGTCCCTCGTAAAACCTCCAAATCGGTATTGCGAAAAATCAACAAGCAGAGAGAGAGAGAGGGGGGAGGGGGAGAGGACGCGATTTATTTATCTATCCTTCGAGAACACGCTGGTCTCTTTTTTTACGACGTAATATGGACTCTGGGGAAAGTGCATCGTTTATGCGAGCGCAACTCCCGACCCTTCGTCCCATGCAAATGGCTCGAAGCGGTAACTCCGAGTCGCTGCGGCACCGGCATCCCCTCAATTTCCATAGCCGAGGCCACGATACCACCCTTCCTTAATCGTTCTATCTCGCGAATGGCTCGAAGCGCGATTGTTCGACGGCTGTCGATTCAGTCGAACGGAGATCTAAACCACCACATTCTTTCAACTGATTCTTCTCTTACCTTTTGTTCTATATATTTCACATCGATTTACACAAAGCTCTAAAGCTACAGTTTCGCTGGAAAAGAGGAGGTGTAAAAACGTAATTCGACTTTTTTAACCACCCTCAGAGTCCGACCGGCATTTGGTGATATCTGTACTTCTCTTATTTGTTCCTTAATTTTTCGCAGGTTTACGTAGCGAAGGGAGAAAAGCTCGTTTCGCTGAGGGTAACACGGACAAGAATAATGCCCGGCTAAGGAACGAATTTTGTACCCGGAAGCCGATGGAAATTGCGGGGAAACAATGTTGTCGCGCGGCGACAAAGACATATGCCCCTAACGAGAGGCGAAAAGACGGCCAGGTTGAATAAACGGGGACAGAGATTGAGCTGGATGAAACGAGGCTGTCGGTGAAAAATGTGGACATCCGACGAGGGCGGCGCCTCGTATGCTGTTTACCAGTCGACTGAAATCTTTCAATTTGAATTTTCCGGATTAAGTTACGGTTCCAATTATTGTACAACCGTGCAGTCGGATCTGACAATCGCGAGTCTTTTTCAGCCCGCTGACCCGCTTGCACCGATCTAGAAACGCCAACGATTGATCGGAGGATTTAATTGATATTCCGGTTCGATACGTTTAGCGCCAGCTCTCAACTCATTATTCGAGCGTCGCCATTCCAGTTATTTCAAAATCGGTTACATCTTCTCACATTCAGACCAACTCGGAGCATAATTAATAATTTATCAATTCTTCCAATTTTAGTGTAGGATCGCGAACGTTTTTGCCTTCGTTCGTTCTGTGATGCCCGGTTTGCTCCAATTCCTCGAAGCTAAGAGCAGATATTGGGGCATCCCTGAGTTAAAACACTTTGGGATTAACGGAGATTTTGATGATACGTGACGTGCGCGTGGTAGAATGAATGCGGAAATGGAGAAAATAGGGCTATTTAAGGGTTCTGGGAAGATGGACTTTGGGTTGTGACTATGCAGGAGAGTTGGAAGGTGAAGAGTCCAGTATGAGTAATGGCGAAAGTGGATGACTAGTTGTGAATACAGATAAAGCTAAGGACTAAGAATGAAAATATTTGAGGGTGTAACAGTTCGTTTCTCAAGAAACGGGGGAGGGGAATGAAAGTGCAGGTAGAGAGCAGGCTCTTTTCGCGAGGACCACCATTAGTTTCAACGGTCACGGGGGAAAAACCAAAGGGGGTGTGTGTGCATGGTGGAAGTATGAATATTCGGGAGAGGATGAAAAAAGTGTGGTGTAAGAATTGGAGAAAAGAGGATACCTTGAGTGGAATAGATAGTATAGTGGTAATACGCTAAATTTCTAATTAACTTAGACGTTTAGTTTCCATTTTATTTTGTTAATAAACTACTGTTATTGTTAATGCTCGCGGTTGTGGCGATAAACTTTCGAGCTTTGTGGATGTTTGCACGATGTTGTGCCGTCTAGATACTGGTTCGAAGGACCACCCAAATGATTGGGACTTGTAAAAACTGATCTATTTCTAACGCGTGATGCGAGCTGGTTCCACCTTGCTTCTCCTTGTTCGTGGTGGTTGAACGACTACTCGACGACTCAACTCTCCGACGTCCGTGAGAAGGATATTTGTTGGGACACGCTGATTGGTTAACGGTTAACGATTGCATTTGCCAATCGCACTATCACCTTGGAAGGGCGGGAGACGGTCGCGAGGGGTGGGCGGAAGGTCCCAAAAATCTGGAATTTCCTCCGGGTGACTAATCGGCAAGCGGACCGTTACAGAAATTCGTGGTTTATGGTATGGTAAATTACTAAAAATCTAGCAAAGCAATTCTAGTGACCCTCGCAGGATATGATTAGACCCGTGCAAGCAGTAAACGAAAATCCTCAACTCAAAAATAACCGTTCCCGGTCGATAGTGCCATAAACCGTTTCTACAGAAAACCTAACAGTTGTTATTATTACATATAAATACACTTTTCCAAACTTCAATCACAAGTCCAAGTAAATTCCACATTAATTCAGTTCAAGTTAGTTCCAGTTTCACTTTAGCTTAGTATTATGACATCTGAGGTGGAAAGTTAACCGAAATAAATTTGCCGGTGAAAGTATTTAAGCGTCGAAATATAAGAAAGATAAAAATGGTGAAGAAACGATCCTGTAAAAACGTAACAGTCGCGCGGTAAAAGGATACACGGTGAAATCTAGAACGAATGTGAAACCGCTATTGAGCGGGGACGGAAATTCGTTCGAGGAAAGCGTCCAATCGAGATTCCTCGAAGTCAAAGCGTCAAGATACGCGTGACGCGTGCTTCTGACTCGAGTTATCTCACGGCATGCGTTCGTGCATCCGTCGATAACTATTCTACTATTCCACCTCTCCTGCTCTTTGACGCCCCCGTGACGGTTTAATTTCCAAGAAAAAGAATCGATTCGCGCCTCTTGGAACTACCACCTACGTGGAGAGAGGGAGCGTGACGCATCGATCGAGTGCGCGTCCTTCCCTCCGACTGATCGCTCGCTCGCTCGCCTTTTCTCTCCGGGCGTAAATCATCCCTGGAATCGTGGCTCGCGATCCGGAACGGAAAGGCGATCGTCCAATGGCGTAAATAACCGAGGACGAAGCCAATTTTCGCCCACCGTCTTATCGATTCACAACTCCTGGGATACACTCTATCAACAATTCGTGCTTCAACCATCGTTCCATGAAAAGGACACCAAATTACACGTTCGTTGATCAAAAATCATTCTTATTCGGTGATAATGTTTCGTTAATTTTTTCCACGGGTACATCGAGTCGACCCGTATCAAAAAGTATCCATTTCTATGTACCCATCCCTAGATAATACACCCGTGTTTTTCCCCTTGCTATACACCTATCCCCCGATTTACACTGAAGATAGGTTCCTTAGAAAACCGTGTGAATCGAAAAGAAACTAAAATGTGCATAATTCAGTCATTTATTTCAACGTAAAACAAAACTAAATATATCTTAAAAAACATACAAATAACGGTCTATTCATAAAATGATAAAAATATAAAGGTATATGTTGCGATTCAAGTTCGATGTTAGATGAATTGGAAACAATTTCAGATCGGCGAGCCTTGGTAATGAAATCCGTAATTAACAATTGTGTTTGGTTTCTGATCAAATCTTTATAGACCTCCTCATATTGAAATCGTGTAAATAAAGTACCGTGTAAATCGGGGGATAGGTGTACTAACTTTTTGTCCCTTTGAATCGATGGTTTTAAGAGCAATCTAAAAATTTGCATAAGCTGGTATAAATCGAGCCCTGTCTCGCCTATTCTCGAATATCCTGCAAGAACGCGTGGATGAGAAGCTCCGCTCGAGACTCCATTTAAGCGACGTTTACAAAACGTTCCACGGATGAGCACTGTGACGAGGAGAACGCGCGGAAATTCCGACCTTTAGTTCCACGAGAGTCGAAATATAGCGACAGTCGAGTCTATCCGAGGAAATATGGGAGAAAATACTCACCGAGGACGGCGAGAGTGATATCTCCTTCGAGGATGGTCGTGTCGTTCCTCGCCCGACACGAATATCGTCCCGCATCCGAGGCTCTCACCTTCTGCGCGTAAATCGTCTGGTTCGCACTCTCCGGGTACAGGATAAAGTGACTCTCGCCACCTGGCCATGGATAAGCCCTGTTGTCCTTGTACCTGCAACAATAATCACGATTGCATTATTATCTTTGCCATTCGACATTTAAGCGCTACACTTGACAGTGATGCAAAAAAGCAAGCGAGAATAAAGATGGAAGTTAACTTTTCTTTTCTTCTTCCTGTCCCCTCAATGGCACAGCATTCCCCGCATGAAAGTAATATTGAACTCGTTAATTTCGCGAGTTCCACGTCCAATTGGTCTTCTGGGGAATTGCGCGAGCACTGCGTCGTAAGAATTCGTTTGCCGTTGCCATGAACGCGATATTGGTACGTGTAGCCCGCTCGTCGAATGGGAAATAAATAAAGAACAGCACGTATCTGCGGTTCCGTTTTCACGGAGGGTGAGAGAGAATCCTCCTGATTTATTCGCTACGACAGCGCATCGCGAATTTTCCAGCGCAAAGAGCTGTTTCTCTTCTCTCTTCCCCTTTCATGCTCGATAAGCTCGTACAAAGGAACACCATATATTTCACGAGAACCAGCAGCCTCGCGACAATCGGAAAGCATTTTGAAACGCGCAAAGAAAGAGCGCTCCCTTCCTCTTTCTCACGGCGGGCCGCTCCCTGTTCTTCAAGAACGTGACCTGTTCGTTTGCCTGCCTTCCTTCCTTCCGAGAACACCTTTATTTGCGCTCAACAGAACCACACGCGTATTACACGCAACGGATTACAATGGACGCGAGGCAGGAGGAAGCTTTGTCTTCGAAATCATCTTTTCTCCGCCTTCCTGGAACTAAAACATTTTGGGAGTGGCATTTCTCCGACGCCTACCTCCCGAACGTTGCTCGCACATCCTCCACTCCCCAGATCCCATCGAGGGAAGAAGCTTTCTTTCATCGATAGTCTGAATGAAAAGTTTTCCAAGGGAGCTGTTTCCAATCAAACGATTCTCGGCGACATCCGATTCCTGTTACACGGCTTATCTCGACCGGAGACCTGCCTGCCTGCCGATTTTCCAGGGCAGCGATGAAATTCTACTCAAACGATTTCCAATAGCACTTGACTCTACCGGCAGGATTTTTGAAGAGCACGAACCCCAAAGGCGACAACGCTCTCTCGATAGAAGTAGACTACAGTCGAGTTCAATTCCGATCCAACGACTTTCCAACTATTTCCGCTGCGATTCTCATCGTCGTTGCGAAGCAAACAATCGTCGTTCCGATCACGATTCACCAGCTAATTAGAAGAATCGAATAAAGCAACGGCAGCGTGTTGCGTCTTGGACGTTTCCATCAATAAATCTGTTTTGTACTTGGAAAAATGTGACTAATTTATAGGAAAAGCGAAAGTCAGAATTTCAGTACGTCGACCAATTATGATGCTTTTCATCCCATACGATTCAGCGAAGGGTTCCAGTGATTTTATGACACGACAATTGCTACCGAGTAGGCACCAGAAAGGCTTGCAGAAACGCTGAGTTTCTGCGTCCGTAAAACAATTTCTGAGCCTCGTCTTCTGGATAAAAGGAAAATAGATTTAGGAAAGAGACACTCAAAAATAGCGTAGATGGTCGACTGGATCATAAAGTGAGACGCAGGTGAATTACGGACGATTTTTATTTCGCGAAATAATTTCGAAGCACGTCCCCTTTCCGGGCGACGCGACATTCCTCCACCATTTCGCGGTAACTGCGCGGAAACCCCTTCCTCCTTGCTCTTCACGGCTCCGTCTTAACCAGCAAACAATGATCGCGAGAAGGAGAGCGAAGAACGAGTCGATAATCGAGCTTCTTCCCATTCCCACACCAACTTTAATCGAGTTTCTCCGCGGACTCTCCGAAAGACGATCCGTTCGAGCCAGGCAGATTCTATTTATCCGAACGCTTTTACGCCTCTTTTTCAATTATCGACTCGACGAAACTGGCGCTATAATAATCAAACACTCCTCCATTCCGCCCGAACGAAAATATTTCACGGGCCATATGTTTGTTTGAAGAAGGAGCCGCTGGCTTCTTGCGTTTATCGATTACTATTGCGCCACGGAGACCTCAACGTTTAACTCTGTTTGCTGAGAAATCAGTCGCCGATAGGACCTGAAAGTTTACCCCAATATTTTTAGTGAAAACACCGCGATCTCTTTCGGCTCGGTTCGACGGTATATCTAGTCCCCGTGTAATCGGACCAAACATGAAAAAATGCTTCTCTTTCAACGCAAATTTTATCGCTTTCTGTCGGCCCCATGTGGAATAGGCGCAGTTCAGAACTGCTGGTTCCTCGTGTACGGAGCAAGGAATTTGCGATGGCTCGCGATTTTTTATGGCAGGCCACGAGAAAGTAGCTCTCCCTCGCAAATTGCAGAGCAGTGGACAGGATACGACGATTAGGTAGGGACTGGGATCGATTTCGAGGCGAGTAATCTTCCACTTTTCTGTTCGCGGAACCGATTAGGGGAAAAAGCGAGCCGCTGATACGGTTCTACGGCCACGTACGTACGACATTTCCACCGCTCGTCCGCTCTGCGTGTTCCGCGACCGTGTTGCTCGCCTCGCGCGTC